AAACCGAACAATAACAAAGAATCACTAATAATCAAATATAAAGTTATATCACTGTAGTTGCAGACTGAGTGGTTTAACCAACTATTCTGTTGTTTCCCGACACAGTCTGCAACTACCTAAAAACACACTCTAAAAGTCACTGAGACACCTTTATTAAAAGTCACCAAGACACTACCCTAAGTCACCAAGACACTATAGTCACTGAGACACACTATTAAGGAACTAGGTTCCTGAGCTGAGTGGTCTAACGAACAATTCTGTTGTTTCCCGACACAGCCCAAGAACCTAGTCCAGGAGGTGTTACTCGAACGATGATTAACGACCAAGTAACCAATTACTTCATGGGTGTCTGTATTTATACTGTTTCTACTTACTGATGATTGGTTAATAATTCGCAAACTCTGATTGGCTAATTATCAAATGATTCTATTGGACGATTTCAAAGGCATTTCGATCCACTATAATTATTCTATTTCATTACAGTTTTCAGAATGGAATAAAACAATCAGAAATTGCAGAAAGTGCCTAGGACTAAACCGATGTACAGTTTATGCAGTGATATTTAAAGCGATATCAGGAACGGGGTTCGATAGAGAAGAAGACTGGAGAGGGGAGAAAGAAAAACTTAGTGTGCAGGACGAACGATCATTTTGAGGTTAGTAAAACACATCGTGTCGAACCCGAAAAAGAAATTACTGCCAGATCCAAACAGTTTCGGGGAAATACTGTTTCAGATTAAGTAACTGTGAAAAGATGTTTGTTTCGAAATAAATATCACAGACGAGTCATAAGAAAAAACATAAGAAACCGAGATGTGAACATTAAAAGACGTGTAGAGCGAGCTAGGGGGATAAGGCATTGGAAATTTGATGGGGACTGGAATCGTGTTCTTATTCGCGTGTAGACATGATGGAGACCCGGAGAGGAGTGAATGACGCAATGCATTAGTCCCGGTCGTGGTGCAAGGGTTTGTCTAATGATTTGGGGGTGTATCTGGAATGGGCCAAGTATTCTGACAGTTGTCAATGGCAATAGCAATGCTGAAAAGTACAGGGTAATAATTGATAATGAACTGTGGCCAGTTGTTGCCCAGCATTTTCCACAGAATGACTTTATTTTTCAAGACGACACTGCGCCAGTGCATCGCGCAAGGATTGTGCTAAATTGCAAAACTGAAAATAATATTCAGTTATGTTGTGGACTGCCCAATCTCCGGATGCTAAAATAATTGATAAATGTTGGTTTTTGTTGAAAAATCAGCTTAGGAAATGTGCGAACAAAATTACCAGCGCAGCGGACCTCGAACAAGAAACTGTGAGAATATGGACCACTGTCCCCATTCATTATAATACGGAACCTTTACAGATCACTTCCACAACGAATGATCATGATTATTAGATCAAGGTGTATGCCACAATATATTAGGTTAGTTCCCTTTATACCAATCGATTTAAAGTGCAGAAGTCGCTGTTTAGCTCACCTGAGCCGAAGGCTCAAGTGAGCTTTTCTGATCAAAATTTGTCCGTTGTCTGTCGTTGTTGTCGTAGTAAACATTTCACATTTTCATCTTCTTCTCAAGAACCACTGGGCCAATTTCAACCAAACTTGCCACAAAGTATCCTTGGGTAAATGGGATTCAAATTTGTTCAAATGAAGGGGCAGGCCTTTTTCCAAGGGGATATAATTATGAACTAATGAAAAATTAATTATATCGTTTAAAAATCTTCTCCAGAACCACTGGACCAGGAAAGATGAAACTCATGTGGAAACATCATCAGGCAGTGTAGATTCAATTTTGTTCAAATCTTGACCCCCTGGGTAGGGCCTTGCCACAATGGCCAATCACAAGTTTACATAGGAATATATAGGAAAAATCTTTTAAGAATCTTCGCCAGAACCACTAGGCCAGGAAAAATGAAACTCATGTGGAAGCATCCTCAGATAGTGTAGATTCAAGTTTGTTCAAATCTAACCCTGGAGGTAGGGCGGGGCCACAATAGCTGATCAAAGTTTTATGGGAATATATAGGACAAATCTTCTCCAGAACCACTGGGCCAGGAAAGATAAAACTCGTGTGGAAGCATCCTCAGGTAGTGTAAATTCAATTTTACTTACATAGAAATATATAGAAAAAATCTTTAAAAATCTTCCATCCAGAACCACCGAGCCAGGAAAGATCAAACTCATGTGGAAGCATCCTCAGGTAGTGTAGATTCAATTTTGTTCAAATCATGACCCCCGGGGTAGGGCGGGGCCACAATGGCTTATCAAAGTTTAACATAGGAATATATAGGATTTTTCTTTAATCTTCTTCTCCAGAACCACTGGGCCAGAAAAAATTAAACTTATATGGAAATATCCTCAGGTAGTGTAGATTCAATTTTGTTCAATGACCCCCGGGGGTAGGGCCGGGCCACAACTGACGATCAAAGATTTACATAGGAATATAGAGGAAAAATCTTTGAAAATCTTCTTCTCAAGAACCACTGGGCCAGGAAATATGAAACTTATGTGAAAACATTTTCAGGTAGTATACCAGCAGATTCAAGTTTGTTCTAATCATGACCCCCAGGGGTAGGGCGGGGCCGCAATGGACGATAAAAGTTTTCCAAAGGAATGACTACATCGGAACTTTTTTAACTCTTCTTGTGAAGAACCACAAAGCCATGATTCCTCATATCTTTATGTAAGCATCCTTACGTAGTGCAGTACAGTAGATATGGCATTCTTAAAACGTGTTAATTTCAGCGTTTTTTATTTTTATTTTAATGAGTATATTCAGATACACCTAGTAAAACATATAATAATATATGTCCACAACTTTTAAAATTTAATTTCAATTTTTTTTTTAGTTTTAACAGGCTAAAATTAATGAATTGTTTGAGTTTTTCAGATTTTAAAGTGCAGTTTACTTTTGATTTGCGAAATTCTAACTGTGTTTCACAAAGTTGCCTTTCGCATACGCTTCTGTGAAAACATGAATAAAAGCTAATCGGACAGACGCAATTAATACATATATCAAAAATGTTCTGTGATAATGTTCAATATATAGGTTGCAATTTATCAAAGATATGAGGAAAATGACCAACATAGGTATGTACATGTAAATGAAGAATTTGATCTCAGTGATTCTAGTCTGTTTGCTGGAATATTATTCATGTTTTAAATCATGAAGTTGAGAAAGGATATTTTTACAGGTACTTGACGAAGAAGGCCGTGTATTTTGTAAAGTAAAACATTCCAAGATAATAGAAACGTGAACATTTGTGTAAAGTTGTATTTGTTCTGAATAAGGCATATCGCAAAGATTAAATTAACCTATATTCGCTTTGAATGAAAATGACGAATAGTGACGATAATAAAAATTCTACAAACATTGAACGTATATAAATCTGTTAAAATGGCAAAAACACGGACCCTGTAAATCACAGAGGTGGGATCAGATGTCTTGCAGGAGGAAGCATCCCCTGTTGACCAACACATCCGCCGTGTGCTAATTTACTAGTATTGATCAAGAAGAGAGAACATTCCGTAGTCAAATTTAATACAAACGTTAAACAAAAGCTTTACAATTCATACGACATACATTATTCAAAATACAATCTCATAGTAGGTTGGGTTTGCTTACAAGGTCATTAAATCGACCATAGAACATAAAGCACATCCAAAATTTGAACAAATAAAAATTACTAGTATATAAAACAGTCGATACGGCAACATCTTTTGCAACATATACTTTCTTTTAGGAAATAATATACCGTTTGTTTCAGTGCTCATAATTCTTCTGACAGTGCTGTTAAGAAGCTGTGACTCAGAATGGACATGGGTAAACGATTACGATCAACATTTCCGATTTGAGTGTACAATGGGTCAATACCTAAGCGGCGTGCAGAGTGCTTTCAGCGACTATCACCATGACCGAAAATTTAGAGTTCAATGTACCCCTGATTATCGGTCCTATATTCATTACTCCTACTGCAGTTGGACAGGTATTCGAACCAAAGGTTTATCGCGTAACATCATGAAAAATACCCAGAAGAATTGTTCTTTGTTTGCTAAATATTTTCTGTTGCAGATTATGCTAATGAAATGGACATGCCTTTAATTTTTCAATGCCGAGACGGGGGACTTATAAGCGGAATAGAGAGTTTCCATGACAACGACTTCGAGGACAGAAAGTTTAAATTTAAATGTTGTCATTATAAATGTAAGTAGACAATATGTATGTTCCTATTTATGCTATTGTCATCTGTCAAAATGCTTTCTCTCATTTTCTAAAAAAGTGTTCACGTTATGTTGAAGGTTTTTTTTTTGTTTTTAAATTTTAAGTGATAAGACACTACAATACTCAGAGTAAGAGAATTTATCATTTAATGTCAAAAAAGAAAAATAACTAATGATTTTTTTTCTGGCTTTGTTGTTCAAATGTATATTATATTCAAATCTTTTCAGTCATTGGCCACTCTCTGTTTTAGCAATTAAGTATGGATTTTTTTTCATAAATTAAGCTTAAGTTATAATTTAATAAATGTTCAGCTGAAAATTCAATTGATAGGTTTATTTTTCATTATAATAAGATTTTTTTTTTAATGTGATGGAATTCTCATTGCTTCCTATTTAAAACAAGCAGGTGGATATAAGTACAAAAAGTAAATTTCAAATTATATTTGCTGCCACCTACAGAGTGAAAATTCAATGTAGCAGGACTAAACATCACAATTTGGACCATATTTTTTTATTCTAGATTAACAACATGTATATTCCTTTGAAGCATCCTTAATATTAAAAACACACAGGTAGCCGCCAAGACAGACCAATTCTTATGATATCGTTATCATTTTAAGATCGTGTTTCCTACAAAAATATGAGTGCAAGCTAAACATATATCTTTCATTCCAATAGAAAATTGTCGTTTGTTGTACATTTTAGATCTAATTTGAAGTACAGAAAGTAATGTAAAAAACTAATTGAAAGGCTAATTTAGATTTTCCCCGACAGATATGTGTACATACGACTGCTTCTACACAGGATGGTTGAACTCATTTGGAGCATATTACAGTTATGAAGTTCCACATAACCATTTCGTGAGAGGAATTGTCAGTTTACATAATAATGTCCCAGAGTGAGTAATGTTGTGATTTTATATTTTTGCAGCATTGAAAAAGCTCTTTTTTATTGGCACAATTAATATTTATTTCCAGTCTAATAAAATAACAACCCGTTTAGTTTTTTTTCTTTCAAATTTTAGCCTTTGTTTTTTTTTTCCTCCCAAAATTTGATAACGAATTATTTCGTCTATATAATCAACAAGTGTGACTGGTTGACAGGGATACTTACGCCACTTACGCACTTAATCTCTCTTCTGAAAGAGCGATATATGGTAAGTGTCTCAATTGGCCCCTTAAAATGAATATCTTAATTTTACTTTATATGTAGCTTTAATTTGTACAGCTATATATGCGACTCTTATTGGTCAATTTCATTTCGATCAAAATGCTGTTATTTTAGAAATATGACATCATAAAAATATCGTTTTCCCGCCATTTTAGCATATTTTGTATAAAACTGCCTATTTTCAAGCAGTTTTTCTTCCAGAAAATATAGAGCGCAGCCTAGAACAAGATTTATATTTTTACCAAAGATGTATCTATCCAATACTAATTAGTGACAGAAAAATTATGCATGTTCTATACTGCGCTCTATGTTTCCCATAAGAAAAATCATCAAGAAAAAGGCATATTTTTGGCTTTTTTGTTAGATAGCAAAAAAAGTACTATTTCTAATGTCATTTACAGCTAGTGAGTGCATATAATTGTGAAAAATATATTGGAAATATTTCTAATATAATCTCTTCTACAAAATAAATATCAATTAAACATATTTGAATGTCATTTTAAAATGTTGATTTTTAGGGGGCCAAAATTGGCTCTTATCATATATACTCCTTTAAATGGGTTCATATGCTATACTCTGATCAGAGAATCGTTTTGTTCAGTTTATTTTTTAGATGATCACTGTTATTTCCCCCAGTTTTAAAGAAAGATGAGGTAAAATAATAAGGGTTTCCTCGTACAGTCACGTGATATAGTGCTGCAAAAAGTAAAAAAAGAGTTGAAATGTCTATGGATCTACAACGTGAAGGGGGTTCATTTTATATAATAAATTAAACGTATTCGAGACAATGAAAGTCATCAATAAAAACACAACCCCTCTCAAATATATTCAGCATATGTTTAAACTACATCATTAAAAATGCTAACGCTTAATCGCTTAATTAAACAAATCAAATCCTTCTAATTTTTTTTAGAGACAGAGTCTTTGATTTTGAAGTATGTTCCATTAACTTTGATTGTGACCACACTTCTCCGACAACTACCACATCTACCACCACCACCACCACCCCCAGACCTACCACCGCCAGAACCACTTATGACGTGTTTCTGCTTTCCATGGTGCATGGAGACCCCCAGAAGTCTGTGCCGATCTTAGGAAGAAGGTCACGTGCATAAAATCTTCGCAAAAATTCTATACTTAGAAAATAAATTTACCAGAAATTATCTAAAACTATTTTTAACAAAATATAAAACCCATGCTTTCAAGTTTTTCTTTCAATTTTCCCTCTGCTTGTGGTCTTAGAATTCAAGTGAGTAAATGTTTTTTTTTTACATAGGTTATTTTAATTAGAGAGTATGGGAATATATACTCAAAGGAAAAGGAAAAGAGGCAAAAATACTGGTATGCAAATTACTGAAAGTCACCAATTGTGCTATTGTGGCTCGTGAGCTCGTCAACTTTGTTTCCGATCTCTCACTTACACAGGTACACATGTGCGAAGTGTATCTAATTTTTCAGCATGTTAACCGCAAGCCCAACAAAACTAGAGTTTTCAAGACTTTCCCTTAAAAATCATATTATCCTACCCGACTCCATAAAGTTCATTTTCCAGAAACCGAATATCTCTGGGACTATTGATTGTTTGTTCTTTAATGTCTTGTGTGACAATTCACTCAGAGCCATTGAACAATCAGGGATCTTGATCATGCCAACGCCTGCCGTGACCAAGGGCTTCCGTTTTTAAGGTCTTATCTTTTCAATCACTGGCATTTGTTTTGTTTATGGGACATCCCTACTTATCTTCACCACAAATAAGTAGGGGTTGCCACGTTTACGAAACACAATAATTATTAGTAAAAGAAAAATAAGTAGGGGTGCCCCATAAGTCCCTGTGCTTTCAATTCAAATGCCGAGCTCTTGGAGCGGTAGTTTCTAATTTTATTGGCTTAAGTCAGTCGTGGCCGGGGCTTCCGATTTCACCCTCTCTGGGACTCAACGAGTTTTGAAGGCGTTGGCATATTTTAGCTTCTCTCGACCGATGTCTTTTTAAGAATTGATTATAATAACGAGAAAGTTGATGAACTCTATGCAATGAGAACGAAGGCTGTGTTAGATGCACAGCGGAAGCATGGGAGACATTTTTTATTACTTTTGGGTACTTTTACAAAACCATAATTTATCTGTTAAAATCATATGAGATTTTGGCTTTACGTTGAAGAGAGATAAACTTTAATTCAACAAAACAATGCTGAAAAATACATTCGAAAAATTAACATTAAATCACCTTCAAAATTTACCCCGCAAAAATGCACACTACTGGACTTGCTTCGGATGCATGATCTGAAGTAAATTTTCCAGATTAGAGAGGAGGTTAGTTTTTGGAGCAGTTGTTTATAAAAGAGACTACAGCTCCTACGTTAATCAAATCAATTTGCAATAAAGATTCCTTTATTGATGCACTAAGTTGCGTTAAATGCTGGATTTGACCTATATTTTCCAAATTGAAGTTTTTAAATAAAGTTATTACGAAGAAACAGTAAGGTTTATCACAACCAAACCTACAGGGATGAGGCATCAAGGGGATTAACACTCTCACAATTGCTTCAGATGCTGCATTTGGCTTAAATGCAAGCCCAATCAGAGGAAAATTGCATACATTTTGCATTGAGGGAAGAACTCCACCAGAATACATATTAGAATGGGACTTGGTTTTACAACTTTGTTTGAAGTAAAAAGTTAAATCTCCAATTACCTATTTGTTCCTTTGTAAGAATAAAACAATATCGAAACTCCAAAACAAGGATACTTTTATTTGGATCCAATGTGAAGATATTTGAAATGACAAAAAGTATAAAAATTGAAACAACGAGATAAAATGTACGGTATCTTTCTATACCAGTATGGTGAAATCAAAAGGTTATTGCAATTAATTGTTCAAATTTTACTTAGCTTCTTTATTCATTTACATCGCTTATTTTACAAGTTGCTTTCCTTTAAAATTTTTTTTAAAAACTCGTCTGTGCATCAACAAATACTATTCAGTAGTAAGGGTAGAGTTCGTACCCACGGTTTACGTGGTACCGCTTATTCCAACTCCCACGCTTCTCAGCACACCTAGAAAAATAAAATGGATAACTATCATTAATAATCTATGTACATGTACATATATAAATATCGGGGAATTTGAAATCACTACAGTAAAATGGTACATTAAACGGTCAGATTACAAGATGTATGTAAAAGGAATGTGTAATTTGTGAAGAAATTACCAAAGGAATATTCAGAATTCAATGTTATGTAGATTTCCAATAGTTATGTGGTTATATATCAAATGACATTTTTTCTTCTTATACAATTTATATAATTCGGTTCATTTAAATTCTGGAAATACTTTCAAATGAATAAAACTTTTTTTCTGCAAAAAAAATTATCAATCCAAAATCAAACCTCATAGGTATGCCTTGAAAATTCAGGTCTAGGGGCATTAAACAATAATCGACTGTTAAGTACAAACGGTCGTGTCGATAATAAAAGGGCATACGACAATGAAAACAGACTGAGATTTCATGATGGATCAGACAACCCAATAAGATAAAATCATCGAGCAACAAAATGAAGATTTAATAGTGGAGCAGAAAATCCATAGAGCATTATAATTTAATACTTACAGTATTAGTTGAGACAATTCATAGAACATAAATCATTCAACTATACAGTCAGAAACGTTAGGTGGAGCGGGCAATACACAAGGCTTAAATCATTCAGGAACAAACTGTTATATTTTCTGTTGAGAAGATTATCGCAGGATATAAAACACACAATCCAGACTGAGATACGGTTAAGCAGACAATTCCTAGGACACATGACAAATAGAAACTGAAATACTAGCGGTCGGGCAGACAATGTACAAGACAAAAACATTCAGGAACAAACTCTAAACAATTATCAGAATGGAACAGGCAATACAAGGGTCATAAAGCAGCAAAGATCGAAATACGGTGGAGCAAAGGGAACAAAACATTCAACTTAAGACTGAGATACAAACATTGAAATAGGCAGCCTACAGAACAACTAGAGACTTGGAAAATTTCAGTAGAACAGAAAATTCAACATAAGAACAGAAACTTCAACTATAGATTGAGATACTTAATGGACATTCAACTACACACTTAGATACTTATAGAACATTCAATCTGAGATGGAGATACTTATAAAGCATAAACTAGAGACTGATATTCGTATGTAGAACATCCGACTACAGACTGATATACTTATGGAGCTTTACATTACACTATAAGATACTTACGGTGGAATAGGCAAGTCACAGGACAAGAAACAATCAGCAAATTTATTACAACATTCCTCCTCATTACGACGCTTACAGGAAAACAGATCTTTCATGCAGGCATAGGAACATGAGCGTTTAGAGATCACTTCTGTTGGCATTAAGGACATCATGACAAGTGACAGAGAAAGGATTGTTAAAAGAGGACCTGGCATCTGGAAAAGAAGGAAAAACATAAAACAACTCTTTATAAATATTTAGCTGTTGTCTTTATGCGGGGTGAATGTGAAACAAAAAAAAAAGAAAAAAAAAGGGGAAGGAAAAAGAACGTGGCAAAAGTCATTTATTTGAATGTTAAATATCACGGTTAGATAAGAAAAATCATAAGGAGCCATGTCGAACATGTTAATTTTTCTAGTTTCTTCAACAAAATATTTATTATTGATCTAAATGAAATCAACTTTATGCGTATTTTTAAAAAGGATATGCCAAATGTTAAATCGTATTGCAACAAACAATAGTTAAGAGTCGTTATCTATGTAATTATTGGCATTACATGAAACACCTGTTAAAAGGGTGAAACAAATAAAAATGGATTACATTTAGCATTTGCTGTTTTAGTGACTCCTGGTTACTCTTATTTGTCACGCAGGTATCTCATTCGTCACATTCTATATAGTTACAAAAAAACCCTTAGAGAGAGAGGCACATTCAATTTACTAATGAAACATATACAGGCACTTGAATGCATAATTGATTACATTTAGCACGGATGTTAGCTCTTCAAGATATACCCAAATGAAAATGAAAGCGCCGCATCTGATGACAGATAATGTCAGTAGTACCTAAAACCTCAAAAAGACGCGAGCTTTGTCCCTGAAGTTTACACGTGTTAATGTGGAATGTGCTAAGTGCCTATCTCTTCGACATTTGCCTACCCCTATGGGAACATTGTTCCTTCACATTAATGGTTTTTTTCTGCCGCTTGTGTTCTGACTTTAAAAGCATACTTTTTGATAATTTTAAGCTTTTATAAAGACTACAGAAAAAAGTAACAGAATAACAGTGTTAATTCATATTTTTTGTTTGTTGTTTAATGTCTTTCTAGAGATTTTTTCACGCATTTAGAAAAAGCACAACTTGCAGTTTGAGGGCTGTAAATTTATACCTCTGTTCGGCACTCAGGGTCATTGAGAAGTGAGGGATTATTTTCCATGCCAAAAAAACTACTGCTACACGGAACCTTGGTTTATACAATCTCATCCGAAGAACCAATTTTCACACCCTGCAGTGGATTCGAAACAGTTTCGTAAGGATTAAGTCCTAGTTCTCGACTCTAGAGCAGACACTCTACCACTGCGTCCCGGGGCAATGAAAATTCCTTTTCTCAAAATTGTGGAAGAATATTGTAAAAAGTTAATATTTTTAGCACATATTTTTAGTACCATACATATATGAATTTAATATCATAAATACACTAACAACAGTTTAAAAGTCACATAGTTAACATATTGTCAGCATTCACTTTAACAACTTGTAATTAAAAAGATATTAAAGTAATGATAAAACTTTAAGAAAGGTTGTCTTTAAACAACATTCCTGTAGCATCAGTTCATTTGTCAGCAGCTTAAAAATGGGTCCTGGGTATCAAATCAACCATGAGATATAAACATCATATGCAGATAATAATGGTAAGTTACTACATAAGGTATATTGATGCCAGAAAAGTAAGAGTAATTGCGAGGGCTGTTCAATCAATAATGTCCTCCGTGCTCGGACAGAAGCAAAAGACAGTTTCAATGATTTAGTCTTAATGGTTTAACTTCAATATTGTCTTTTAATTCAAACACATGCCTGTAACATTTTTATCCAATTTCTGATTGTTCTTAGAACTCATTTTTGAGTATGACCCTTCGTATACTGGAATATGGCAGATCCTATGATTTTCTTGACTTGCTTCTTCTTT